TCATTTGTATCTAAAAGAGTCAAACTCGTCATGAGGAACTTTCTATGGGGAGATACTGAAGAAAGTCACAGGTCCACCTTGCAAAGTGGGACACAATATGGAGGACAAAAAGAGGGGGGTTCAAAAATCTAAAGGACATGAATTTAGCTCTACCGGGGAAATGGTGGTGGCAGTTTGTTGCACAGGAAGGCCTGTCTGTTATTTGTTCTTTGTCCCCCTCCCTTCCTTGGGCCTCTGTCTCTGGTGTCCACCAATACTCTGGTTTGGGTCATATTGATGGAAAGAAACAAGAGGTTCTTTGAGAGCTGTAACACAGAGTTAGTAAAGGAGTTGGTAAAGGACATAGCATGGCTCTGGGTTTTTCCGGGCCACCAACCAAAAGGAGTTTGGGGCTTCCTTGGCCTTGGACCTCACAATGAATTGGAAAACCATTATTGTTTCAAAAAGTGGTCAGCCCAGCGCCTAGGCGGGCTAGAGTGGCCTGGACACTTGCTTAGTACCTTGCCTAGGTGGGCGCCTAGGGGACTGCGCCCGCCTAGTTGCAAAAATACCCACCGGGTGAGGCATTGTTGGTGTTATTTATGTTTGGATTATAAAAATTGCATGAACGTGTATTTTTTTATACCAAATATGGACTTAAAACATGATTACTGGACTCCTCTGCCCCCTTTTGAACCTAGGTTGCCAACATCCTTGGGCGGCTGCTTAGGCACTGGGCGGCTTAGACTCCCCCTGGGGATGCCTAGATGCCGCCCGACGTTTTTTTGGAACATTGAAACCATAATGTCAACCACCCTGTCTATCTAGCCGAGGGTTGCCTCAAGACATCGGCACCATTAAACTTAACTTTGATGTATGTTCTTTTGGAAATCCTGGATCAGCTAGCATTGGGGGTGTTTACATAGATAGTTTGGCAGCATGTTGCTTCCCTATTTGGGGCCTATTGGTGTCATATCATCTACTTCGGCTGTAGCAAACACACTTATGAAAGATCTGATACAGTTCAATAGGAGTTGGGTTCTCTCTCTCATAGCCAAAGGTGACTCTATGTATGCAATGATTAGGTCACAGGCATATGGAGCACCGTTGGAACCTAGAACAAATTTCTGATCAAATAAAGTGGTTATGCAGTTCCTCCAAGTCATCTCCAAGCATCTTTGGTGGGAATCCAACAATATGGCAGACTCACTAACCAAAGAAGGGACCCGAGCTGCAACTGGATAATTAACGCCAATTTCTCTCAAAGTGGCTGATGTGGTCTTTTGTATTCCCTATGAAGTTTTTGATTTGTTTTGATTTTTGTACAAAGCAGTGTACTTCTCTTTTTTTTTTTTGGATAAGTCAGTGGGGGAGAAGGCCCCATTTTTCATTAATATAAAATCAAAATGAGAGTAACACATTATTTTACAACCCTATAATAAGGCAGTTGCGCCAAGTCATAACGGGGAAATAAAGTCTGGCGGATGACAACACGAAATAGTAGCACCAAAGCTAGCAGATGCTCTCTTAGCAAGAGCATCAGCTACCATGTTTACCTCACAAAAAACATGGGCAATGGACCACCTATAAGTAGCCAATCTGCTCTGACAGTTGACTGTAACCGTTTGTAATCTCCATGGGGCAAGACATCGATCCTGGATAACATTCACACGCAGAGACGAATGACTTTTTATCTATAGTGGAAAGCATCCTCGGTGGATAGCTAGATGGATTCCCTCTTCTAGGGCCAAAAACTCTGCGTAATTATTAGATGCAATACCAAAGTGCTTAGATTGCAGCAACAAAACCACCATTGCTATCTTTGAACACCACCACCATTTGCTAATCCAAGGTTTTGTAAGGAAGCCCCATCGATGTTCAACTTGTAATTCTAGGCCTCAGGGAAGGACCACGCCATCAGGATAAGGGGTCTTGGGTTCTGCTGGTGCCAAGTAATCTGAAAATTACTAGTGATTGCCTTTTCTCATAAATGGAAAGTCCATTTTTTGACATCCGCTAATGCCTTAACATGTGAAGTAATTTGCTTAACAATTTGTTCTCTTCTTGTGGATCTTGACTTGTTTTGCTCCTCCCATAGGAACTAAATTGTAGTGAATAAGATGGAAGTCCAAATGTTGAGAAGTCCATCAGATCTAAACTTGAAGGCTTACCAGCTTCTAAGCATATTAGGAGCAGAAATACCAAGAATGAACTGCTTACCACATCGTCAAGCTATCGACCTCCATACGCCCTGCAAAAAAACACAGTGAAACAAAAGATGATAGGCTGTCATCATTGTTCCTGCAAAATGAAAGTGCTCTAGGTTAAAATGGCTTCTCAACGGAGATCTATAAATTTGGATGAGAGGTTATTAAGAAAGATCTTTTCCTGGCTCTTAAATATTTCTTTAGCAAAGGTAAACTCTGTGAGCAAATTAACTCCACTTTTATATGTTTAATTCCTAAGGTGGATGCCCCTAATTATCTCAAATCGCTTACAAGTGGTTCTTGATGATCTTATTGACCCTAGGCAGGCTGCTTTTCTAAAAGGCAGATAACATTTGTATGGAATATGAACTCTTGTCTCTTTGCCAGGAATTCAGTTAGGCCAAAAATGTGTTTGCAGATTGATTTGAGGATTGCCTATGATGGGTATCCTGGGACTTTATTTGGCTTGGATGCAAGGACTGGGTTTTCCAGATACTTTTGTTTCATAGATTCGGCTGTATATTTCCACCACTTTTTTTTCTGTATTGAGGAATGGATCTCCTAAGGGATACTTTAAAGGGAAGAGTGGGTTGAGACAAGGGGGTTCTTTATGGTGCAAGGCATGTTACCTAGGGCTTTCCCTTCGGGATGTGATTATGGGGTCTCACATTTATTTTATGCTGGTGATGTTATCTTTTATGAGGCATCTATTTATTCTACTACTACCATGAAAGAGGTTCTCACCAACTTTGAAATTTCTAGTGGTCAGATGTTAAATTCTACAAAAAGCAAGGTTTTTTCTATGGTGTACCACAGGTTGCAGATCCAGGATTTTGAGGGAGTTGCAATTCGGAGAAGGCTCCCTCCCAGTGCGTTATTTGGGGTTACCTTTGTTCCATGGGCATCTTAAGCACAAGTATTGTCATAGTTTGGTTGGCAAGGTGATCAGTAGGATTGGTACATGGCAAGCTTTATGTTTATCCTATGCAGGTCGACTTCAATGGCTAAAGTCAGTACTCAGTGCATCAGTTATTTTTTGGATCTTATCATTTATACTCTCGAAGAAAGCATGTAATATGATAAAGAGGTTGCAAAGGAATTTTTTATGGGCCGGTGTGGCAGAAAACAAAGGTGGCCTTCTTGTCAATTGGAGGACAATTTGCCTTACTCAGGAAGGGGGAGGACTAGGGGTACAGGACATCATGGATTTGAATATTGCAGGAATGATGAAGTTGTCTTGGAAGATCCTGGCAAATCCCTCTTCTTTACTAGTTCGGTTTTATTAGCATAGATGCTTAAGAAATTCTTTTGGACGGGGTGTTCTCATGCTTGGAAGGGCTTCTTACTTGGTTTAACGCATCTAAAGGAGAATGTTCAGTGGTGTTTCACTAGCAAACAATTGGTAGATTTTTGGTTGCACCCATGGTTATCAGGGCAGTCGTCATCGGATTCTTATGGTGCCGACGCTCATGAGGATTTGGGGGAGTTCGTTGGGCGGAAGGTTTCTGATTATATAGGTGGTTCCCCTCAAACTTGGGCCTTGCCTTGCCCTCATCTACATCAGATTCCTCGAGAAGCATATGGAGGGGGTTGATAGTTATACTCTCTCTCCATAGGCCAAAAAGGACTCACTGGTATGGATTCATTGTGTTAAGGGTTTGTTTTCAATCAAAGCAGTATCGAATTTTGTTCGATATAAAGGTTCATCGCAGCCTATATTCCGTGTCCTCTGCTCTTCTAAATGCCAATTCGGGCTAAATGGTTTTCTTGGCTGGCCTTGAGTAATCGCGTACCCACTACACTTTTATTTTAGCAGCGAGGCGTCCATCTAGCTCCTTTTTGTCCTTTTTGCAGGAACAATGATGACAGTCTCTGTCATGTTTTGTTTTATAGTGTTTTTTCGCAGGGTGTATGGAGGTCAATAGCTTGGCAATGTGGTAAACGGTTCATTCTTGGTATTTCTGTTCCTGATATGCTTAGAAACTGGTTAGCTTTCAGGTTTAAATATGATGGATTTCTCAACATTTGGACTTCCATCGTCTTCACTACAATTGGTTCCTATGGGAGGAGCGAAACAGGAAAGCCTTTCAGTCAAGATCCACTAGGAGAGCAAATTGTTAAGCGAATTACTTCACATGTTAAGGCATTAACGGATATCAATGCTTTGCCCACAATTTTGAGCAGTCTACTACTCCAAGCAATACATATCTTATTATCATTGTATAATAGCAACTTTTTCAATAATTAAATTAAATCCCTTCCTCTATCTCTCCCCATTTGTTCTTTCTATTACCTTTATGATAAGGAGTATTCCCAATGCTTTCTTCAAAAGTGTCTCATAAGATGGGGACCATAGCAACCGTTCATCTCAAGTATTTGAAAGTTTGAATATTTTGACCATTCTAAACTCCCATTATGAAAGGGTTGCTGATTTGTACGGGGTTTATTAGGTTTGAGGGAAATGTTTATTCTGATCCAAGGTTGGAGTATGGTGCACATTTGGCTTATTAGTTAGTCCTTCAATTGACATTGGTGGCTTATAACAGTGTTAGGATTCTGTTAGTCTATCGGAACTAATTGGTGGTTATAAATCATCCAATTTTTGCCTTATCTAACTATGATTTACTTATCAGCTGGCTAATTGAGAGTAAATTTTGTGCAATGCTGCCAGTAGAAGAGTTTCTTTATTAGAGTTTGTGGGCTGTACTATGTGGCATCTGTATTGATAATTGATATTGTATGGTTGCCTTTCAAGCAGTTGATGCCACTGGACACTTTCTAATTATTTGGAACAAATTGATTCTGTATATGCAGTTTGGTTCCCATTCAAAGAAGCGACCTGAAAATATTGTGATGGGGCGGACTTACGATCATCACATATACGACCTTGTTGAAGTTGGCGTGGAAAACTTTAAGCCTTTAAGCTCTTTCTCTTATGACAAGAAGTTAGCCCCACGAGTCGGGTCCAAGCCTTTCTTTACTTTTATTGGAGAAGGGTTTGAGACTGTGGAAGAGCTGAAGCATCTGAGGGAATTTTTGCTTGATCTCTTTAGGGGAGAGGTATATATAAACTTCTCTCTCTCTCTCTCTCTCACACACACACACAAACACACACACACATATATCATGGGCCTGGCCCTTTGCAGGGAATAGAAATCTCTAATATTGCAAGATTAGTTGAATCTTTAAATGGACATGGCTTCTTTCTCCTTCTCTCTCATCATGGGCCTGGCTCTATGTAGGTTGTGGAAACATTGAATCTTTCAGGTTTAGACCGAGTCTTTGTGTGTTCTGCTGTCTCTCCAAATAAAATTGTTTTCATGCACTGTGCTCTGCAATTAAAGAGGTCAGGCACAGTTGTTCCTCGGATGGAATTGACTGAAGTTGGGCCATCCATGGACTTCGTTGTGAGACGCCATCGTCTCCCCAATGAGGATCTCAAGAAGTCAGCCATGAAAACAGCTTCCAAACTGCCCAAGAAAAAGGTCAATTGCTTTTGTTCTTGTTGCCATTATAATTATTTGTTTCTTTCTTTTTGATGCTGCCTGCCTTGGGAGTTCGAATATTCTGATCCATTATTCGAAATGGGGTTTTGATTTTAGAGAGGCTGTGATTCACTTGCAGGTGAAGAATGTTAGCAGTGACATGATACAGGGAAGAATAGGAAAGATCTATATTCCTGACCAGCAGGTGTGGAGCTGCTTGTTTCTCGTCTGTTTTAATAGTACTCTCTCTCTCTCTCTCTCTCTCTCTGACATCAATACATTTTAAGGTTGGAGGTGTTCCAAAAGCCAACATGAAGGGGCTAAAGAGGGAACGCCGTGAAGGAAAGATGAAGAAGGATGGAAATGGAGTTAAGCCAAAGAAACTGAAACCAAACCCAACATGAATAGGCACACAAATGTACTAGAACATTTCAAGAAAGGAGTATTTAAGAAAGATGGGCAAGGTGGGATCTGGCCTTTTTGGGCAATAGCGCTGTGACGAGCTTACACTTATAACCAATAATTCTAGAGGCTGAATCCCAGGTCAGATCTCCTCCTAAGGTTTTTGTATCACCACAATTTTGACTAAACGAAATTGCTTTGAAGTTTTAAGCAAGAGCTATGTTTTGATTACCCTGGCATCATTAACTCTTAAATCTTGTCTTTGCGTTCTACTTGACTCCTTATCTGTAAGCAATGAATTTCAGTAAAATTCATTTGAGATAATCTGGCCTGGAATTTGTGATTATGATGATTTAAGAAATGATGGCAGGTGAAACTTTGATCCCTGGTGCATTGAAATCTTTGTTCGAGTCAGGAATGAATATGCTTGATCTGATTTTAATTGGTATGAATATCGTCAATAACTCCTTACATTCCAATTGTGTCATATCATGTAGAGATGGGTCCTTCTCTCTCTGTTACCATCCATCATTTAATTGGATGGTGGCGATACTCATGAGCATTCTATGTGTATGATCGATCACATGGATCATGAGGTGATTTGGCAAGTATCCTACATAAGGTGCTATGTTGGTGCCCTATCCATTGCCCCATAACCTTCGATGAAATAATATATTTAAAACCTGCATGATGAAACCATAATATAATTATTTCATCCCTATTACGTATCCTATATTTATTAGGGATTCTTTTAGAGATGGAGATTTGTGCACTCGAGACCACTTTTTGTATAGGCAGTAGTGAGAGAGGGGTGTATGCGTGTTTTATAAGTAGAATCGATAGATGGACCTTCAGTCCTAGGAAGAAATTAAACTCAGGGAGGATTGAGCAAATCAATTTTACTATTGGAGTTGTGTTGCCTGGTCGCTGGTAGGGAAAAACTTGATAATCTTCAGAGGAGCCTATACACAATTTAAAAAAAGAAAAAAAAACTATTTTAATGTTGGGTGCAGTTTCAATAAGGCCTAGGCTTTATGAAAACAAAATAAAAACTTCATATCAAATCATTGTCCAGAAAGCACTTTTCGCAACGAAAATCTCTATAATTGTTCTAAAATCAATTTCCAACATTGACAATGAATTTTAAATTTTAAGAAAGATGCTGATCTTGTGGAACTATGGATATTTATTTTTAAGGCAAAATGGATGGGCAAGATAATTTTTTATAATATACATTATTTTTAGAGCTTGAAAGTCTATCTTTTTTTTTTTTAAACGTAATAATCATACCGATATATTTGATGTAAAGGTTTTCGAATGTTTGAATTGCAATTTAGAGGATTTATGAGGTGATGCTTTATTTATTTTGATAGTAAGGGCTGCAGCTCTATCAAACCATTTTCCTTTAATGTTTTCTCAATAACATATTTCTTTCTCTTTCTTATCAGATGGACCTAAATGCAAAGCTCAATTTTTTCCAGCCACAATCATTTGAAAACCTAGTCAACGGGGTACATAAGTTTTAATTTTTCCTTAAATTATTCTTAAGGAAAATATTATTTGAAGGTCAAAACGCCTTGGAAAAATCATTAAAGGGGTTAAAATATTCCAAATAGCATTAAACGGTTTATTTTTAATTTTCATTTTATTCATTTACTTCTTCAAAAAATAATTTCAAAATATGCAAAGTCTTTATTTAAAGGTTGGAAACCTGGACTAAATAGGGGTACTGCAGTAATTTGATTCCTTTAAACAAGTAGGGGTACATTTTATTATTTGGTTGGGGCCTCTTAGGTAGGTCAAATTAGAAAAAAGCCCTTGCTTTGCTCGTTCAACATTCTCAATCCTAAATATGAAATGATCCCTTTAAAGACTTTGTGAGGTGTCGAGTGAAATTGAAATAAAAATAAAATGATTATCCCATGTAGTGTTAATTTGGATGTTTTGACCCCTTTAGAGATTCGATAAAGGATTTTGATCCCTTAATGATATTTCCCATTTACTTTTGGCGCAAGATGGTTCACCTTGAAATTCAATGGCCATTGAGAAAAGATTTATATCGATCTTTGGATTAAGGGTAATCTCAGGGTCCACTTGGGCCTTTGGGGCGGGCTTTAGGGCGTTTGGTGGGTGAATTTGGAGAACTGACTAGGGTTTTTTAGATAGAAGGTCGCTGAATTTGGGAGAAGTTAAGGGGCTAAAAAATAAAATAAAGGATAATATCCAAAAGGACGGTTTCCAAGCAGAAGATATTAAATTTCACCCAAAAAAATAGAGGATGATTCTTTAAAGTTGGTAACCATTTCAAAAGCACATAATAAAAAACTTGAGGTAAAAAGTTTATAAAACGTTGGAACCTTATACTATTAAAGTAAGGCTCATCTCAATAATCATTTAGAAGAGTGTTATGATGTTGAAGAATCCTCCAATTGATCATCTCAACGTCAAGATGTGTGAATATAAAAAAAAAAAAATTCAAGTGCTAAAAATAATACATCATGTAACAAGTCATCTAGACCAATATTTTCAAGATTTCTAAAATCTATATATCTAGTCAGTCTATATAATTCTTGAAATTTCAAATTTCATAGCTACAGATGAAGATAGATTTTCAAGGCATCACAAGGCTTCTGATGCTAGAACTACATCTTCAAACAAATTTTATAAGTCTCTTACTTCTACAGTATAAGGAGGGCTCCTTATACAAAGACCACCCAAACTTGAAATCATGCTATCCAAGTTTATTCAAATAAACAAATAGGATAAGCGATTTCAGGATTTTGGACTGACAGAATACATGTGGTAAGAGTCGATAATTTTCTAAGTTTGAGAAAAATTAAAGACGAAAAATGGATAATAAGAGAAATGGGTGAGGTTTGTATATACTGTAGAAGTATAGCGCACCTATAAAATTTACTTAGAGATGTCGTTTCAGCGTCGAAAACCTTATGATGGCTTCAAAATATCTTTTTATCCTCAGTTATAGAATTTAAAATTTCAAAAGTAATACAGATCGAGCAGATCAAGAAACGTTTAAAAATCTTGGAAAGATACAGTACATATAACTTGTTACAATATACACTATTTTTTGGACTTGAAATTTTTTTTTTTTCATTATGTCCATTCATCTCAAGGTCGAGATGAGAGATTGGAGGGGTCTCCTCTGCCAAAACACTCTCCATTGTAGGATTTTTGAGGTGTACCTCATTTCAACAATATAGGATTTTTGAGGTGTACCTCATTTCAACAATATAAAGCTTCAACCTTATATAAACTTATGTCAAGAGGAATTTACTTAACAAAAATACCTAACTTCATTGGTTCCAAACCTTGAGTGTTAAGATTGGTAAAGCGTTTAGAGGGGCAATAATTAACTCAAAAGGAAATTATTTAATAAAAGGTGATTGTTTTCCTGAAATTAAAGAATACCAAAGGCAGAAATTAGACAATAAAAGGAATTTATTTAATAAAAACTTAACACTTTTTTGGCTCAAAAGCTTGAGTTTGGGGTTAATTAGTGCATTTAGGGGGTCGACAAGTGGGATATTAGGAATTTACACTTGATTGAAGGAATTTACCCCTTAAGTTCAGGGTCATAAGTTGTGAACTTTGATGAAGAGTCTAGGGTGGTTAATTTCTTCTTTGACAAGAGTGTTTAATATTATTTAAATAAGGGAGTCATTACAACCATAACAACAAAGAAAATGCAAAAAGAAAACTTACATTAGAACAAAGAAAGGGAAACCTTTAACGAGGGAAGGGTTGCCCCCTTCTTAGCAAGATCATCTGCCAAAGTATTAGCCTCTATATATATATGGTTTAAGATAATGTTGCTGTCAGTAGATAATTCTCTAATGTGCAACCAAATATATCTCATATGCCAAGGTGTAATAAATGAGCAGTTACACTAGTCCATTACATTCTTAGAGTCCCCTTCCACAAATAGGGAGTCCCCCGAGCTCATCTCCTTCTATAGCTTGAATCCTTGTAGGACCGTCGTCATTTCAACATAGTTCGCAGTAGCATCACCACACGATCCTGTAAAACAGAAAGCTAAATTCCCACTTGAATCCCTACATACTCTACCCACCCCAACCCTACCTGGATTTCCCATAAAATAGCCATCAACATTCAATTTAAAGGAACCACTAAAAAGAGGTTGCCAGCTGCTTCTTGGCCTCACCTTAAGAATTCTTAATGAGATTAGTTGATCAAGATTATCATCTACATCAGTTCTTGCAGTCCTCCATCCTTCTTTAGTAATTCTAAACAAATTCCATGTATTTAATAAGATCTTATTCTTTAAGGTTGCCAAATCCACTGCCACACCTTCCAAAGCCCCCATATTTCTTTCAAGCCATACTTCCCATAATAATGAACCATGAAAAATATTCCAAAGAATTCCCCCAACCCTTAGAACTCCAACAATTTTCAATTGTTTCACAATATGCCAAACAGATGAAGGGAGATTCAAAGAAAACCCAACTTTTTGCAAAGCCCAATACCAAAGTGCAGAAGTTACCGGACAAGGTAAAAACAAGTGATCATGTGTTGCCTTATCATTTTTACAAAAAAGCAAACATTAACCATGATCTTACCTTGTTTTCGCAAATTGTCCCCTGTTAAGCAGTTACTTTGCGCCAAAATCCGAACAAAAGCCTGCACTTTATGAGGGATTTTCCAACTCCATATATCTTTTAAAAAGGGCTGATTCATCTTACACGATCATGGAACAAAATATCATACGCTAACCTTACCAAGAAGGCACCATCAAATTCCAACTCTTATATGGCAGCATCCACTTCAAAACTTGAGATAAAAAAATTCCCCAAGACACTTTGTAATTCCAAATACTGATCAAAGGCAACAACAGGTAATCTATTGTATAAGCAAGTAACATTCCATACAGTTGACTGTCTGCCACTACCTACTACCTACTACCTACTTCATGTATGGTAGCCACATGTTGCAAACTTCTATGATAAATATCAAGGAAAAGTGCTTTCAATGGGACGTCAGATGCCCACTTCGAGTGCCAAAGCAAAGCTATATCACCTTTATCCATTGTCCATCTTAAATGGCAAAGGAAAAAAGATTGCATAGACACTATTGTCCTCCAAATGGTTGACCGTCTACCAACATGACCTATTGCAACCATATTATAACATGGATCAACTCCATATTTGGCTTTCAAGACATCAATCCAGAGATGACTATCCCTATTCAACAACCTCCACCACCATTTCGCAATTAGAGATTGATTGACAAGCTTTAATTTTCGAATCCCCAAACCCCCCTCAGCCTTGGGTGTACAAATACTATCCCAACTAACAAGAAGATATCTCTTCATTTCATCATCAGATTCCCACAAAAAGTCCCTCATCAACTTTTCT